CAACAGCAGCTAACACACTGCAGGTGGATACACTCAGTGCCTTTATCTTTAGCTAGTGTCTCCTCCTAACCAATCCAGGTGGCTTTAAATGGCCTGGTTAATTGTAGGCTTCAGAGTCAGCCCTCAGAGTGGTTTTCTCCCAAGGACTTTCTTCTGCCTGGCTTTTCCTGTCCCTTCTCAATGAGTTCTGTCTTCAGGACGCTTTGGTTTGCTTCCTGCATTTGCTAACTCTTAGCCCCTTCAAAGTGGGGCACAGTTAATGCTTGCAATAATTTGGAGGCTTGAAAACCAGAAAGCTGAAGCTGTCTGGATGATAGCATTACTGTTTTGCTAGGTTACTCTGAGCAGGCAAATCCTTTTCCTCTCTCTGTGGCTCATTTTCCACTTTAAGATGAGGGAGAATAGCACTTATCATCCAGAAGTTAGGGATTTTCCCCAATCAGGAAGACAAAGTACTTCCTGTATGAGAATGTTCAGATCTCTTGGCGACTGATGTTTGTCGCTGGTTTGGTATACGTAGGTGTCCTTAAGACTAGGGGTGCTGTTTTGAAGAGAAAGGTCAGGGTGAAAATAGAAAGTAGGAAGAGCAGGGCATACTTTGATGGGAATGAATAAGGATTAAGTGTGGAGTGTGGGAAGGAAGGAAGAAAAGAGCAGAGACTTAGCAGATAAAAACTCCTGGAGAAAAGTAGATAGAAGTGTAAAAACTGAGAGGACTATCTGAGATCACTCAATATAAATTTATGCCTATATATACAGTCATAGAAGTCAGCTAGGTGTCACATAGGATAGAGCACTGGGCTTAGAATCAGGAAGACTCATCTACCGTGGTTCAAATCTGGCCTAGCTGTATGACCCTGGGCAAGTCACTTAACCTTGTTTGCCTCAGTTCCTCATCTGTAAAATGAGCTGGAGAAGGAAATGGCAAACCACTCCAGTATCTCTGCCAAGAAAGCCCCAAATGGGGTCACCGAGAATCAGACACGAGTGAAACAACCGAACAACAGTCATAGATGTTGCCATCTTGAACTGGATACCTATAGGAACTTTGGTGAAATAAGTCTGAAAGCCATTTGTGTATAATCAAGTTTTGAGAGTGAGGGCTGAATTAACCCACCAGAGATCATAGTCAATAATCTGAGTCCCCCAGTCCTTACCCTGAATTAAAGGCAGCTGGGCACCTCCAGGCCGGTGCAAAGCACTGGTCTGGGTCCCAGTGAAAGCCTCTTCTCTATTCTGACCATCAGGGCATAGTACTGTTCTCATGGTGTCAGATGCTTTCATCCATTTCAGCTCTTGGAAAAGGCAGCCTGGCTGAATAGGCTAAATGGATAAATAAACGGCAATTAATACATCAAAGGAGTGTTCTGTCAAGCATGAGGAGTTGTTTCTAACTGGCTGTTTTGGGGACAGTGTAATTTGATCCATGTAAGGTTTGTTTCTTCTTTTCCATTAGCTCAGCATTGATTCTTCTCCCCTGCATTGGCTTTTGCCATGTGTTGTGCAGAGCTGAAATCGACAGGCCTGGTTTTATTTAGCAGCACCTGCCTATGGGATGTGTAGTACTGCTTCCTGCCAGGATAGCTTTGTTCCGGCCTTTCCAGGGACAGCCCAAGTCAGCCTGGCTCCCGGCAAAGTGGCTCACTAATTGAACAAAGCCAAAAGGAGACCCATCCCCCACCTCAGGCCATTGGATGTTTTACGTAGGGCCTTCAGAAATAGTGTTGTTATTAATTTCTTGATGCTAAATTCTGGTAGAGCTGAAACATAAAATTATTATTTTTCTTAGGAGAAAACTGAGACTTAAGGAAGCTAAATATTTTATGTATTGTCACAAAACTAGTCAGTGCCAGAGGCAGGATTTAATCCCAAGTGTCTCCCAACTCCCAGCCTAGCAGTCTTTCCATGATGTTGTGCTGGAGAAGTAAATTTAAATAAAAATGAGCCAAACTAGATTGCTCTGTCCCTTGTACTTTCCGACCTCCATGCCTTTGCTTATGCCTTTCTCTATGCCTATAATTTCTACTGTGCCTGTTCTTACCTGTTGAATCCTTTAAAGCTCAACTGAAATGCTTCCTCCCAACTGAGGCTTGTCAGAAATGAACTAGCTCCTTCCCTACCTCGCATAGCTTTCTAATGTACTTCTCATGTTATGTATATTGTAGTTATAATTATTAGTGATTGTATCTTATCTGTCTGCTTACCTTGTAAGCCCCAGAAAAGCAGTGACCAAACCATATTGAAACTTGCTCTCTTTCCTCAGCATTTAGCACATTGCTTTGCACATCAGCCACTTAAATGTTTATTGAATTAAAAATAGGATTAAGATAATCTATATTGAGGGCTAGAACTAAGTCCATTTTATCTACTAACTTTCATTGTGGACAGCTAGATGACTAGATGGACAGAGCACTGGGCTTGGAGTCAGGAAGACTCATCTTCCTGAGTTCAAATCTGGCCTTAGACACTTATTAGCTGTGTGACCCTGGGCTAGTCACTTTAACCCAGTTTCCCCATCTGTAACATGAGCTGGAAAAAGTAATGGCAAACCACTGCAGTATCTTTGCCAAGAAAACCCCAAATGGGGTCACAGAGGGTCGGACACGACTGAACAAAAACAGCAACCCCCTTCCGTTGAAAGAGCTCGGATAATTTTATATGGAGAAACTGATTTTTTTCTTAGTTGGGAAGAACACATGTAGAAGCCGAGGCACAGAGCAGGGATGTGATTTGTTCAGGGCAAATGCCTAGTTCTGACCACCAAAACACATTCCTTTCTCTCCCATTATGTTGAAGCTTCTAGCTAGGTATTAAGTGAAATAGGATAGACGAAATCACCTTGTTCATGAAGGGGAACAATGGCAAGGTCGACTTACTAATAGCCAGCTGAATGCAGGTGGGGAAGGAGGGTTGTTCAGCTGTGAAATCCCTGTTCTCCATGCTTTCTCACTGGGAGCTGTGGAGGAGCCCCGTGGGAGCAGATGATTCTTATTCTCAGAATAGCAGCCGCAGACGCCAAAGTTTCAGTCAAGTGATTCCTCAGAAGTGCAGGGAATAGAGAAACTCATTGTCGTCAGTTAGACTATAACCCTCTGCGCGCTGCTCCCAAAGAAAACCAGCATATTGAACCCTAATGAATGTTTCATTTTATAGCCTTTGGCTAAAGTGCTGGGGAGGACTGGCCGCTCCTCCTTGCTCTCACATAGTCATCACGGTCAGCATTTCTTTTCCTGAAGAAAAGTGTTGTCATTTAATCCCCCCCTTACGTAAAGATTTAGTCATATTTGTAGCCTACTATCTTCATGCTACCCCCACAAAAACACAGAAAAGGCGTATTCATCAGCCCCCATTATCAACATTCCTCATTCCTCTGTGATAATACTATGGAAAGGTCACATTTACAGCAAATGTGCATAATGATACAAGTTCAAATTGAGAAACACACCAAGAAATATCAGACCATTGCCACTCACATGCTGAGATCCACACAGGCACATGTCTGCAATACCATATTTACATGTGGGCATAAGCCCAACTTAGCCCAGATGTACCACCCAGACCCAGCAGACACCAGAGTTCTCTTTCTGAGGTCCCACCCTTGTCCCTCTTCTGTTCCTAATAAATGCTAAAATCAGGAAAGGGTGGCTGAGCCCACCCCCAGGCCCTCTACATTAGACCACTGCTGTCAACTCCCATGGGTTCTGAAAGGCTTCTCTGAGAATTATGATCACCTCAATTTGTGATTTTATTGGTATGGGGAACTCTTGGGATGGAGTCCCCTCCACTGATGCGGGTCAGCAACTCACCTGTTACTTAGAGTCTCAGAGAGCTTCCTGGGGCTCTGAGATGTTAGGTGATGTCCTTGTGGTCATACGGTCAATTGGTGGGCGTCAGAGGCAGGATTTGAACCCAGGTCTTACTGACTCCCAGGCCAGCCCCTTATCCCTTATCCCAGGTTGCCTCTCAGGAATTGTAATGTTTAACATATTAGAGTTTTCAAAGTACTTTACTTACAACAAGTTGGTGAGGCAGGCAGTATATTATTCCCATTCTACAAATGAGAAAACTGAGGCAGAGAGACATTTAGTGACTTGCTCAAGATCAACCACAAGTGTCAAAGCCAGTATATAAACTCAGCTTGTCTGAATCTAAAGACCAAAACCAAACTAGTCCCTCTAAATAAATGTGAAAAGAAGACTTTAACTAGTTATAGTTCTCTCATGCACTGTGGTCAGCACACCTGAGCTATTCTCATTCTCATACATGCTGTTATTGGATTTATTACCTACAGATAGAATATCCTTCACCTGTTTTTTTTTTTTAACGAGGTGGGGAGGTGGTGGGATGGAATGGAGAGATCCTTGGATTTGGAGTCTTAGCATCTGGGTCCAAACCCCAGCTCTTATATTTACTGTTTATGTGTTTGAACAAGTTGGTTAACTATTCTGAGCCTCATTTTCCCTTGCTATAAAAAGATAAATTATATTTTAATTATTTTAAATTATAATTAATTATGATTTTACATTTATAATTATATTAATATTTTCATATAATTACATATGTAATAATCATAATTAATTATTAAATATAATTAATAAAAGGAGGAGGTAGTATCCAATGATCCTAAAGGTCCTTTTAGTTCTAAATCTATCATCTTCAAATTCTAACAGGAAAAGACAGTAATATATTCAAGGTATTCAGATGGTCACAAAATGGGGGGAAATTTTTTTTTTCTGTCATTGGAAAGTGTTGGGGGGGCGGAAATGGTTAGTTGTGTTATTAATGGGTGGGGTTCCAGGTAGGAAACAAAAGCTAGAGGCAGTATTTTCTAATGAAAAAAAAATTATACAGCAGGGCAGCTGGGTTTTAGCTTTTCATGTGTCCCTGAATTCGGTCTATAGTTTTGGACAAGACTCTTCACCCTCTCTATGTCTCAGGTTCCTATTGCGTTCTCATTGCATATTTCTGTTGCCCATATTTGTTGTTCTGCCTCATTTTAGGGTCGGTGAGACTATGGGTTCAAGAGAGGAAAAGGGTTCCACACCAGAGTCTGAGCTGGAAACTAGCCTTAGCTACATCTGTAAGGTTAGTAGTCTGCGTAGAACAGTTCTCCCTTGTCTTCCATACGGTTCTGCCTATCCCAGTCTGGGCATACGAATGCTAAATGTTAACAACCAATTCTTTTTTTTTTTTTTTAAATCTTTCAGCTAATGCCTTGCCCCAAGAAGTGACTTGGGACTCAGGCTTCTTTCAATCCTTCTTTCTCCTGAGTCACATCTAGTGTTGCTATAGAGAATCCATAGCCAAAACTTTCCCACCGAATCTCCCAAGACTGGCACTATTCTTTCCCTTGGGCATTCCTGATACCCCCCTTTCCACATGATTTCTCTCTCTCTAGTTCCTGATGTTGTGTGTCATGGCCCAACCCGGCGCTTACACAGATGGGGAACTGCTCAGCCTGATGTACCTGGTATGCCGAGCCAGTCTGGATAGACAGTTACGCCTACTACCCACTACTGACCTCCAGCAGCTCCTGCTCTTGTTACTTGAGGATGTTAAAGACTGGCCAGAGAAGGTAGGTAATAACAGGCCTCTCCCACTTCCCTGTCTTGGAGATCCTCATGATTCTGCTCAGATCTTTCATTTTTGCCCCTGCTCCTCAAAGCCCTCTGTACACTGCTAGTATTTCTTATTCTAGAATTTCTTGAATCTTTTGTTGAGAGTGTTATTACATGGAGGTGGGTGGTTTAATAGCACTTATGAATGACCAGGGAGGGTATCTCCTGCTGCCCTCTTAGGTGAGTGACTTCAGGGTTTTGAAAAGAAATCGGGGTCTCTGTCCAAAACTTTTATCTCATTTTCCACCTCAGTAATCCTAATGCCTTCATGAGCCTGCCCCTAAGTGCTATGTTCTTGGAGTTCATATGGTTCTTTCCAAAGTACCTGGCTTGTTCCTTGGTTGGGGCTCTTGTGAAGTGGAGAGAGCAACGTCACTTCTGTGTTACACACCATCCTTAATGATCACCATTTCCTTTTTTGGCAGCTGCCAGAGCTGTGCTGCATGTTGAGCTGGGTGTCTGATCACCATCACAACCTGCTGGCTGCGGTGCAGCTTGTCCTGGATGTTACTACCCGTGGCAGGTACATTTTTTCCATCTCCATTTCCACAGTGAGACACTTCATCTCTTCAGGGTCTATGTGATGTTCTAAGATTGGGGCCAAGGTGTCAAGAGTGTGCTGGTGTATGTGTATCATTGATTGTGTCAGCAATGTTGTATGCTTGAGTACATCTGGTGAAGTGTAGTGTGTGTGTGGACAAGATTAGATCTAGTGTACTGCTTGGCCTATGTCTTTCTTGCTACTTTCTCAAAGGTGGGAGAAATGCCCATGGAAGAAATTACTCTTTATTCCCCAAGTCCCTGAGAAATTAAGGGAATATATTCTAGAAACAAAGAAGAAGTTACTCAAAAGAGGATGAGCTGATGAGCCCATAAGTAAACCTAAATTGCTTAACTTGGATCTATTAGTGCAATTAACTTGTCACCAAGAGGTGCCAAGAATGAATAGAACAAAGTCACCAGATGCAGTCACCCTGAACTGCTAGACAATGTTGTTCCTAAGGTGAAGGAAGCTTATCCCAGACCTACAAATTTAGGTCAAAAGCAAGGGGGGAAAGCATCTTTCCTACATTCTCTGCAAAGGAAAATACCTACTCTACATTTGAAGGAGCTGGCTCCTAGAAGCTCTGTCCCCAAGGAGTAAAGGGAACCAGATTTCCTGTTGAAGCAAAGACAATATCAGGCAAGTCCAGACTTTTGAGCTGCCTGCTCAGTACCTGGCTGCTAGCAGGGTCCACATTTGTACTATGGCAAAGGGTGTGGCACCAATACACATTTAATAGCTGAAATAATTTAATTCAATTCACTTCAATGACTGTGTTAAGTACTAGCTTAAGTACTAATACATAGTTGTGTGCAATAATGGGGATAAAGGACAAAAATGAAAAAGTCTCTGTCTTCATGGAACATATATTCTACTGGGGTGATACAACATGTATTCAGAAAAATAAAGACAAAGAAATTTGAACAGAGAGAGATAACAAAGTGAGGGGGGAAGGGGAGAAGAGGCTGGAACCAGGAAGGTTCTACTGAGGAAGCAGCCTCTGAGTTGAATCTTTAAGGACGACAAGGATTTCAATAAGTGGAATTGAAGAGAGAGTATATTCAGAGATAGAGATTTTAGAACTCCACCTTAGCAGGGACCTGGGAAGTCACTTAGTCCAAACCTTTTATTTTGTAGATGAGGAAACTGAGGCCCAGAGTGGTCAAGTGACTTTTTTATAGGATTATGCAGAAACTAAGAGCTAGATCATAATTCAAATCTGGAACCCTCTGATTCTACATCCAATCCTTTTTCTACTTTGTCACACTACAATCTAGACATGGGAGACTAGCTTGAACAAATGAATCAAAGCAAGAGATGTAATGTTGAGTTCTGGGAACATCCAGCAGTCTAGTTTCACTGGAATGTAGAAATGTGTGAAAAGGAAGTAAATATGAAATTAAGCTGAAAAGATAGGTCAGAGGCAGATTGAGGAGGATCTTTAACACCAGGCTGAGGAATTAGTTTTGTATTTTCAAGGCAGTATGGAGTCACTGAAGGTTTTTTGTAGGAAGGTGACATGCTCAGACCTGTGGTTTAGCAAAACTATTTCGTTATCTATGTAAAAGATGGGGAGAGGGGAGAGAGAGAGGCCATTCAAGAGGCTATTTTGGTGTCCAAGTGAGAGATGCTAAGGGACTGAACTTTGGTGGAGTCATGGGAATGTAAAGAAGGGGACATGAGAGACAGTTTGGAGGTAAAATTGATAGGATTTAATAAAACTGTTTCTTTGTAGGAGGTGAACGAGAAGGAAGAGTCAAGGATGATGCTTTGAACCTGAGTAACCAGAAGGGTGGGGGTGCCATCAACAGACACAGAGAAGTTGGAAGGAAGGTGGCTTTAGGGAAGAAAATGATGAATACCATTGAACATACTAGATTTTGGGTACCCACAGGACATCTGTTTACTCCCTGCTGTCTCTATTCATCTCTGTCTTAGTAGAGACAGTGTAACACAGGAGATACAGTGCTGGTCTTGGGGTCAAGAAGAATTGGGTACAAATGTCCCCTCTGACATCTATCAGTTATGAGAATGGACAAGTTATTTAACATCTCTGAGCATTAGTTTCCTTGCCTGTAAAATGGGGATGATACTTTTAATACCCATTTTACAGGATTGTTGTGAGGCTTAAATGGCAAAATGTAAATAAAGTGGTGTGTAAACTTTAAAGTCCTATGCCAGAGTTCATTATTATTTGTGTTGCTCCCCTTCTGCACAAAAGCCTCTTAAAAGTCCCTATTTGCCAAGAGAGATGAATCTGATATTCAAGGCCCCAGCCTACCTATCCAACCTCATTTCTTCTTATTCCCTGTGTTTTAGCCTAACCAGACATCTCACTGTCATTCAAACATGCCATGCTATCATCATGGATTTTGAGACTTTGCACATGCATTTCCCTCATTTCTTACGTCTTTTCCCTTTCCATCCACGTATCAGGGGCAGCTAGGTGGCACAGTGGATAGAGCACTGGGCCTGGACTCAGGAAGACCTGAGTTCAAACTCAGCCGCAGACATGTACTAACTGTGTGACCCTGGGCAAGTCACTTTGCCTCATTTGCCCTAGTTTCCTCATCTGTAGAATGAGCTGGGGAAGGAAATGGCAAACTACTCTAGTATCTTTGCCAAGAAAATTCCAAATAGGGTAACAAAGAGTCCGACATGACTGAACAACATTCACCCATCTACATCCTACTTCCAGTTTATCCTGCATGTAGCTTGTTTGCACATAGTTGCTTGCAGGTTGTCTCCCCCATTAGACTGTGAGCTCCTTGATGGCAGGGCTGTTTTTTGCCTCTCTGTGTGTCTCTAGCACTTAGCACAGTGCCTGGTATGTAGGGAATACTTAATAAACGCTTGTTGACAGCCTATTTTTTAGGGTTCCAATTTCACTTCACTAAGACTTTTCTGACTGCTCCAACTTTAAATTGAACTTCCCCATCTTTGAACTATTTTCTGTAACATTATTTTGGCACTTCTATACTGCCTTTCATTGTTACTGTTTCATCTATATGTGTATGTTGTCTCCTCAGCTTAAAGCTTCTGGAGGACTATATTTTCCCCTCAGTGTCATCCTAAAATATAATATGTGCTTATAACCTAAAGGAATGTTGCTTTGCTTTTTTTAGGGACTTTTGGATATGTGCTTTTAGCCAGCTTTGACTATATACTCTGGGAGCATGTTGAACACTCCAGGGATCTATATCCGTTCCACTGTTGTTGGGCTATGTGACCTCCAGCCATGTGCTATGGGTTATGTGAGCTTGCCTCTCAGAAACAGGCAGAAAGAATAACACTTGTTAGATATGTAAAGATGATGAGAACTATTATAGCAGCAGACAGAAAGAGAAAGAAAGAGACAAGGGTGGGGAGGGGAGAAAGAGTACCAGATTGAGAAAAAGACAGAGACGGAGAGAGGCAAAGAGTCAGAGAGGGCTAATTCCCAGGATGGGTCTTTAAATGACCATGTGGGCTGCTGTTCTTTTAGTTAGCATCTCCTTGGGTCTTCACTACATCCTGTGCAACATCTCTTATCTATGTCTCATTCTCATCACTCACACAGCCACCACCCTAGCTTATGCCCTCATCCCCTCCCACGTGGATTGATGCAATGGAGACAGCTAGGTGGTGCAGAGGATAGAGTGCTGGGCTTGGAGTCAGGATGACCTGAGTTCAAATGCAGCCTCAGGTACTTACTAGCTGTGTGACCCTGGCAAAGTCATCTAACCTCTGTTTGCCTGTTTCATTGACTGTAAAATGGGGGTAATAACAACACCTACCTCCTAAGGTTGCTGGGAAAGATCAAATGAAGTAATATTTGTAAAGCACTTAGTACTGTGCCCGGTACATAGTAGATACTATATAAATGCTTATTTCCTTCCCTTCCCCCCAACGGCCTCCTAAATGGTTTCCCTGCATCAAGTCTCTCCCCTCTCCCAACTCTCCTTCACACAGCTGCCAAATTGATTTTTGCTAAAGTGCATGTCTTATCATATCACTGCCCTTCTCAGTAAACTCTGATGGTTCCTATTTACCTCCAGGACCAAATATAAACTCCCCTAATATTTAAAACCCTTCACAATCTGGTTCCAGCCTACCTTTCTTTCTTTCTTTCTTTCTTTCTTTCTTCTTTTTTGCTTTTTTTTTGGTGAGGCAGTTGGGGTTAAGTGACTTGCCCAGGGTCACACAACTAGTAAGTGTTAAGTGTCTGAGACTGGATTTGAACTCAGGTACTCCTGAACTCCAAGGCCAGAGCTCTATTCACTGCACCACCTAGCTGCCCCATCCAGCCTACCTTTCTAGCCTTATAGCTGGCCTCCTCACTGTTCTTCATAGATAGCCCTCATAGATAGCACACATAGACAGATAGCACACTTGTCTCTTTGCCTCTGCACTGTCTGTCCCCTAGTCCTGGAATGCTCTCCCTCTTCACTTTTGTCTACCTCTCAGAATCCTTGGTTTCCTTAAAAGCTCAGCTCAAGTGCTACCTTCTTTATCAGGCTTTTCTGATCCCTCTATTAGTAGCTTCCCCCCAAATGACCTTGAATCATATGTGTGTGCGTGTGTGTGAAAACACATGTACATATCTGTGTATATGCATACATGTATATACACATAGATACATGTATATGTGTAGTTTATATGTGTGTATATATGATTTATAGGTATATATTATATATATGATAGGTTTATATATGTATGTGTGGTTTATATATGTGGTTTATATGTGTGTGTATGTGGTTTATGTGTATGTATATATATAGCTCTTTTTCTGTCTCTGTCCCACTTTCTCTGTCTATCACTCTCTGTCTTCATCTGTCTCTGTCTCTGGTTTTCCCCAGGCTAGACTGTAAAAAAACTCCCCGAGGGCAGGGACTATTTTTTCTTTTGTCTTTGTATCCTCACCACCTAGCATAGTCCCTGGCACACAGTGGGGTTCATAATATGTGCTCATTGACTGATTGTGTTGCTGGAAGTGGGAC